CCGCACTGACTCTGGAATGCCTGACTTTGGGCTTATTTTGCAAGACAGAAAAGACACCTCTTTGTCTAAGCCACTGTTATTTAGGGACTTTGTTGTCAATAGTCAAACATAATTCCTACATGGTGAGGTCGGAGGCTGGGGTGTAAGTGTGTGTGTGTGTGTTAGAAGGTGGAAGAGAGAACAAGCGGACTGGGGGTTTGAGGATCTACATAGCTCTAAAGTCATTTATGAATTGAAAAAGCCGAGAAGCACAACCGTAGGAAACCAGTCTGGGGATCTGGGATCAGAAAAGCCGGTGGTTATCCAAATGTGTATCTACCTAGTGCAAACATACGGCGTGCAGGTCCACCCTCTCTTCCTGCACCTATTGACTTTGACAATATCCATCCTATAAAGACTGGTGTTTACATTTGAAGCCAGTAGCAGCTTTTACTGAAGGAGAAAAATACTTCCTCAATTTTTTCAGGTTTAAGGTCAATTCTGCACACATTGATTAAAACACTGAAAGGCACTTCTGTGAGCTTAATTATCTCTGAAAACATGCACTGTTATGTGTTATGTTCACTGTTGTCTAGATTGAGGGCTTTAGGGCTTTGAATACACTATAGTTTAAAATCCTTTTCTTTCATTCCTGCGAAAATGTTTTGACTATTGTGAAATATGAACCCAGAATGCCCTAAAGCCCTGAGCAAATGGTTAGCAAGACTTCAAGCTTTGTTATATTTTTTATGTTATTATGTTTCTGATGCAGGCTAAAATCATCTCCATTGGTACAGAAACTAGAAAACGTGTTTCCTTGGATACACTGTATTGCCTCTCGGGGGAACTATTCATCTTGAAACACCCAGGGCCATTGAGAGTCGTTCATTCCTATCACTACACACCTTTTAAAAGTCAACAACTGATGGAGGAAAGTCTTTGCAAAGCACAAGATACTTATCTGCTTTTCAGTCCATTCTGTATAATTCCTGGAGTTTATGAGATTGAAAAAAATAATGCCAGTTGAGGCCATTTATCTAGTCTGTGGCAGCTGCAAATATAGCTGTTCCAGAAACAATCTCATCTTGAGCCTCCCAATTACCTTTAATGTCTGGATTAATGTACTAACCTCTCGTATTTAAGATCCGTCTTGGCTGTATTATCAGGATCGCAGAGACGAGCAAGTAGACAGAGGATTTACTGATTTGTGAAAAAAAACCTGTTAGCATCTTTGACATTTATTGGAAAGAAAACAACGCTTCAGCTTATTGAATATTTCAATAACTTATTCGTATGAGACAGAGAGAGAGAGACATGTTTCAAGGGAACCAGAGAGGCAGCATGGGAAACAGCACACAGTGCCATCCACAGACCCCAGGGCCGTGGGGGGACCAGGAGGAATAAGATTTCATCAGAAAGCCTCTCTCACTTGGACAAGAATATGCTAGACTCCCGCAGCTCACGGTACTGAATAAACAATGGAAACACTGATTTGACGTAGGCTCTGCTTCGAAACCATTGGAAAGCGTTAGTCGGAAAAGTGCATTTAACATGTGTTCCCTTTCTGCTCTTCACTTACCTGATCAAGAATGAAATGGGCTACATTGTGGATCACGTGGGCGAATGAAAGGCAGTGGACTCCAGAAACATTCCTTAAAGTCCTCACGGGAACCCCTGGCCCGTCCAGCTGACTCAGAAACCGTAAGCCGGCTGGGTTAGCGCTGGGTTAGCGCTGGCTTCCCGGTGGACAGGGAGGTTTTGAGCGCAAGGGCACGGCCCGGATTCGGAGCTCTGTTTGCTGGGGCCGGGAGCTGGGTGGCTCTGAGATCCCCAGGGGCTAGTCCAACTGTGCCCTTCAGAAACCTTGGCATCAACTGACAAGTGGGCCCACAAGCCATTGGGTTCCAGAATTTCCCTAGAGATGCCATCACAAGCCCCGGTGCCAAGGAGACCCACTGCAATCCTTGGCAAACCCATTTTTTTTTTTTTCTTGCTGTTGAATCAGATGAGAAGGGCCCAGGCCCAGGCCATGAAGAGCTAAGGGGCACACTCAGGAATCAGCCAATGAATGCATAGACAAATGGACGACAAGTCAATGTCTCTCTCTCAAAACCAGTAACACTGAAAAAAAGAAACAGTTAAGGTGCTTTCGAAGCTATGAAGAAGCCCAACCCACTCAGGGTTGGAACATGGCTCATAAATGGGGTTTGCTTCTGGTTTTGAACCCATCAGTATCCTCAGCACGACAGGTGAAGACCATGGTGTGCGTGGGGGGGGGGGGGGGGGGGGCAGAGCCCTGCAAAGTCTCTTCCTCTGTGCTATTCTGGACGAGACAGGTACTTGGCATTGCGCTGGCCCGGGTGGATACACACTGTGTTCTCACCAGCTGGAACAGTTCCATTTAAAGCTGGGATGAGCATTTCCTCAAGTGGGTACAGTATGCACACACACACACACACACGCACGCACGCTGGGCCCGCTCTCCCCAGGCACAGGGTGACATGTCATCATGCCCTTTCAGATGCAGGCTGTTGGCTCCATCCAGCATCCCTCCTAGGGGACCGGGGCTTTTGAGCTAAATTCAGCCTTTGAGTGCCTGGGAAGCCTGTTGTCCCTGGGGTACTTCTGGGAGAATAGAAGCCGATGAATTTTTTAACAAGAAAATGAATGTGGATGTGGATGTGTGTTTGATAATGGTCCAAGCTTTAATAGCACGGTAAAATATTTATCTTTTTTTTTTTTTTAATAGCTAGCATGCAATCAATCTGTACACATTGGTAGAACTTAGAAAGATCGAGGCCTACTCAGCCATGGCTGGATGCAACCACTCGACATTTAAAAATACACAGACCAGCTAATGGGAAGTGCAAACTCATCACCAGGCAAATCACTGAGATCATCTCTTTCCCCAAGAGGAAGAGGGAGTTTCTGGGAGCACATCCCTCATCTGAGGGCCCTCCATTCTTTTCTAAGCCAGAGTAAAGGGCTGTGGGTATCTCTTCTGGTTTGGGGTTTTAAGAAGTTAACTGTCTTAGCAAATCAGCTCACTAAGTTAATCTCCCTCTTGGACCCTGAGTGACTCTGATTCATTTCACCGAACTTCCCCACCCCCTCCTTGGGCACAGGGGGTAGGGTACCGACTGGGACGGAAGGTTAATAATAAATATTATGTAACTGTTTATCATGTAAAGATGGATGAATAATGGTCCTTCTTCCTTCTTAGATTTTTTCACAATGAGATGGGAAGGAGGGCTGGTTATAGGAAATCATCTAACACGGAATCAGAAAATGTTAGCAATGAGCAGACTCCCAAGACCAGCGTCTTTGTGTCCCAGGTACAGAAGCTGGAGGTGGACCGGAGTGGGGCTGAGTCATCCTCTCTTCTCACCAGGGCGGTGGAAGGGGGTGGAGAACAGGGGATGGGAAGTGTGGAAGGCAGACAGCGGGGCTCACTTTGCTGGCAGGCAGTTCGTGTAGGGCAGCGGTTCTCAACCTCCTGATGCCCGACCCTTTACTACAGCTCCTCGTGCTGTACGTGGCGTATCTGCACATGGGCGGACCCGCCTGGAGACGGATGGAGGAGCGGTGTCTCGGTTCCTAAGACCATTGGAAATATGTGTTTTCCGACGGTCTCAGGCAACCCCTGTGAAAGGGTCGTTCGACCCCCAAAGGGTTGAGAACCACTGGTATAAGGAGCATCCCTGTTCATTGGTGACTCTGAGTGGTTGTGTGAGGGGGGACTCTCTTCCCCTTACTTCTAAATTCCAAGTGTGTACAAGCAGTTAGGAGGGTCCAGAAAATAAATACTGGCACCCTGGCCACGTAGCTCAGTTGGTTGGAGCATTGTACTGATACACCAAGGTTGTGGGTTCAACCCCCCGTCAGGGCACATGCAAGAATCAACCAGTGAGTGCATGGATGGGTGGAGCAACAAATCGAGGTTCCTCTCTTCCTTCCTCTTTCTCTAAAATCAATCAATCAATCAATCAATCAATCAATCAATCATCAATCATGGCTACACACAAATTACCTTTCTCATCTTCTATTCATCTATACAGATGAAACAGAGATGGTCCTAAGATACCATGGAGCAAGAATTCTGTGGTTCTTTTCAGCACAAATTATTTTTTGATCTACAAAGAATTGCCTTTATCCCAACTAAGACTTGGAATTAGGCTTTTCTTTCTTTTCTCTTTCTTTTATATGGAAATGGCAGCTCTTTCTCAGATGAAACAGTCTGTTCCATGCATGCACATCACCTGGGACCTCTCGTGTCACTGACAAGTGCGTCTTGTCTTTCATATGGTTGTGGGGGCCTGAGCAGGATTTTCAACTTGAGTCGATCTGGCTGCTGGATTTATCATCTGCAGAGAAGCAGGGACAGTCTGCTGAGTCCCTGCAGCTGCCAACGAAGTGCCTTTCTCCCTGAGCACAAAGCCAGTTCCCCTCCAGACGACAAATGGGCGTGAATGGAGTTAATCTTCTTAACTCCATTCTGAAGGGTGTCTAGGTAAGAAGGACGATCTACATGATCTCAGCTCACACTTTAACCCGGAGTCGCCCCCTCTTTAGTTACCTTTACTAGGGTAGCAGGTCACCCTTCTGAGCTCTGGTACTACATTAGCACGAGGCAGCGCAGGGAAGACGGCCCCGCGGCACACCTTGTCCCCGAGCGTTGCCCCCTCCCCGTGCCGCAGATCACCTGCCGCAGGACAACCTGTGAGTGTGGAGCATGTCGCACTGTGACGGTGCAAAAAGAGATGATGAAAGAAAAGAAAAAAAACTGGTGGGAAGCTGCTCTCTTACATTCCCCACAATTCAAGGGTTTGATTTTTGGCTATTTTGGGACCATTCCTGGCTAGGGATACTTTGATAAGAACAAACTCTCCGCAGCCACCAGGATGACTCTTGTCATGTAAGCTGTTAAGGATAACTGCACGCAGATCCAAACATAACAGAGGATGTCACTTTATTGGCTGTCCACAGGAAGTCTGGCCACACAGGGCGGTGAAGACTGGCAGGTGTGGTGCACACAATACCTCGGTTAACTACCGAACAGACAGTTCACGGATTCCTGATTTGATAAAACCCCAGCAGCCCTCCGCAGCCCGGGTGCCACCTTCCCGGCTGTCATTACGCTGAAGAGACTGGCGAGTGACGGCATTGTGCATTTGTCTGGGTCTCTTGCACCGTCTTCCCGTCAACAGCACTTGGAAATTCACAGCACCTCCCTTTGCAGACCAACACCACGTAAACAGACCCGCGAGGCATGCAAATCCACATCTGGTCGTTGTTTCCTTCCGGGATTTTTTAATTAAACAAATGGAATGGCATGTCTAGTTCAAATATTAGTAGCTTAACACGTAAGTGCAATTTCAGTCTGGCCACGAGTCCCCTAAACCTTCCGCGTGTCAGGCACAGGGGCAGCAAGCAGACCGTGTGACCTCCAGGCATGCCCTTTCCCCGGAGCCTCTGGTCACAGCTCCCAGGCCCCCCAGCCCCAGGCCCACCCTTCACATTCCAAATGCCTGGAAATAGCTCTGTCTCTGTTTTCGCTGTAATCGAAGCAAAATCCAATGAAACCAAGCTGTAAGCATCTGGGTCCTGCTGCCTCTGTCGTTAGAGGGGGTCCGTTTACTCTGCAAGTGGTCCTTGTGCCCAGGACCTGAAGTTGTCTTCGCCACCGTGGCTCCGGGTCACGAGAACGTGGCTGTGGGAGCAGCCCCCGTCCCCGCTGGGCCCCGCGCTCACACGGAGCTGAGCTTCACCAGGCCGCGCACCGAGTCTTCGTGCAGAGAGTCCTGGCTGGCCAGGCCCAGGGCGTGCGAGGTGCGGCTGTGGGCCAGGGGGCTGCCGGCCAGCAGCCGGGGCGGCGAGGGAGCCTCCTCCGGGGTCAGGAACTGGTGGCCCATGTGCTCCTCTTTCAGAGGTAGGACGTCTGTGAGCCCTGCCTCGGCGGTGAGGTTGGGCATGGAGGAGGGCGGGGTGGGCTGCCCGAGCGTCAGGCTGGCACAGGGTGTGCCCAGGCCCGACTTCCCCGGCAGGTGCAGCTCATCGCTGGTGAGGCTGGGCTCGCTCTGCAGCAGGGGTGTGGCCGCGGCCTGCAAAACGAATTTGGTGCTCTGAATGCACTGGTCTTGGTCGCACTGGACAGCAGGAGGGAGCCAGCAAAGAGGAGCCCAGACGAGATGGCACAGGGTAGGGAGGGCAGGGGCACGGGGGCAGGGGGAGGGCAGGATGCGAGAGAGAGAGAAACTCGTTAGTGACACCTCAGTCAGCCAAGGGCAGAGAGCGTGCACAGTAGCCCGTTTCATTAGGAGACGCCCAGCATGCAGTGAACACCAACACCTGGCACCCTGAAAAGCTGCTGAAGCTCACGGTCCCCCACAGTGCCCGGGGAGCAAGGTGCAGCCTCAGCCTACCATGCCCCTGGCCCCTGTTCAGACAGGACCTCACTGCAAAACAGTCCCATCGATGCGTCATGGACTTGCCCACTTAACATTTAATTTAAAAAATTAAATAAAAATTATATAAATAAAAACATCCCACTGACAGAGTCATGGGCGTTTCCACCTGCCCCAGTCTGGTGGCTGTTTCTTGTTTGCTGAAAACCACTTTTACTGGACTGTTTTAAAAATACAGGGGCCCACGTTCACAGAAGCATTATTCACAATCACCGCAAGGTGGGAAGGACCCAGGTGTTCTTCGGCTGATGAATGAATAAACAGAACGTGGCTTACACGGACAGTGGGCTATTACCAAGCCACGATACGGAAGGGCATCCTCACACATGCTACAACACGGATGAACCTGGAGGACACCATGCTAATGAGCCCGACACTGAAGGACAAATCCTACGCGATCGCCCCTCTGTGAGGCACCTAGAGTAATCACACTCGCAGGGAGAGAAGGTAGGATGAGGCCCGCCGGGTCAAAGAGGACGGGTGATGGGAAGTCCCTGTTCAACGTTTGGAGTTTCGTTGTGTGAGGTGAAGAGTTCTGGAGACGGATGGTGGTGGTGATCGCATCATAATGTGAGCAAACCCAATGCCACTAAACTGTGCACGTAAAAATAGTTGAAGGGATACAGTTTGTATGTTTTCAAAAAAAGAAAAAAAATCGGGGCAGCAGAAGCCCCTGCGGGTCTGATCAGACTGCCTGTAAAAGCCTCAGAACGCCCCGCCGCTGAGCTGTCACCACGCTCGGGAACCACTAACTGAGCTAAGGTGGCGTTTAAGTCTGCGAGAGAGAATGCCACGCTTCACAAGCTGTTTCCCTCTCCTCTGGGTGTTTTGAAATCACAGTACACCTCGCACCGTTTCTTCCACTTGATGCACTGGCCAGGGGGATGTGGCTGGTGGCCTGCGGGTCTCTGACTCCGCCCGAACCCTTCCCTGGAGCTCAACTCTGCAGTGACTCGTGAGAGTTTCTCCTGTCGGTGGGGGTAGCAGGGAACACACCCCTGGCTCCACACTTTGGCGAGAAGCCAGGAGCTCCACTCCATGTTCCGGTTCAGAGAACAAACTCGTTTCCCCTCCTGACAAGCGAAGACCCCGCGGTGTGAAGCGAGGTGGTTTGCTCAAGTCTCGTGATGGAACGAAGGGCGGGATCCGGCTTTGGGGCTCAGATTGCTGGGCTGCAAACCTCTTTCCACGACACATGGGGTACACAGTAGGTGCTTAACAAACATGACTTGTCTTGTTACCCTTCCCTCTCTTCTCGGAACTGGGGTGCCTGGCAGCTTTGGGACGGGCACCCCTGCAACTACCCCACTGCCCCGCCTCCAGGCAGGAAGCCACGGGGCCCACGCAAAGCGCAGCCTCAGGACAGGAAACAGCTCCAAGTCAAAACGCCTTGGGCTTTGCATCGCGTTTGCTCGGGTGCCCGTGTCCTTCCCAGCCAGAGGAGCTTTCCCCCCAAATACGAGTGGCAGTCCACCCCCTACTCGCCCCAAGCCTCCACAAAGAGGTGGAAGAGCCGTAGTCTGAGCAAGTTACAGGGTTTAGAAGTTCAAAGACCCTGACGGAGCTTTTATGAGGAAGGCAAGTCTCCGGGGAGATCCTGGCTGTTGTCTCTACGCCTCACTGCAGCCCAGGGATCTTCAAACTCACCGAAAAGCTGGGGGGTGGGTAGGAGAAGGCTGGTAGTGGGGGGCTTCTTCGATGCGATGAACCCACCATTACCAGCTGGTTGAAGGGGGCTGTTAGGCGCGAACAATCATTTAACGCAGTTACCTCCCCAGTCATCACCCACATCATTTCAGCCACAGCGGTCGTGTTCCAAAGGGCATCCGAGTCGCCTTCTCTGCTCTTGTGGGAGGTTTCAGCTCGGGGAGGGGTCCTTCCTGCTGCCGGGCTGCAGCCAGCTCTGGTCCACACGGGTCTCGCTCTGCTCTCCAGCGCCGTCCGTCCATCTGCATGTTGGCAGAGGTGGACCAGAGCAACCTTCCTGGTGAAACTCTCCCTGGGAACTACCCCAGGGCCTTGGCGAGACTGCTTTGCAAAGGGCGTCTGTGATCGCACCGTCCGTCTCCTCACTGAGGGAGCTGCTCCGCTGCCTCCTCCCCTGTAGCTTCGCACAGCTCCCTGCAGGCCCCTCGCTGGCCCCGGGGCCGAGAGGCCAGGGCAGAGGCCAGGCCCCATCCTGGATGGCCGAACCCTGCTGTCAACCTCCCCTTCTGGGGCCCTCGCCCACCCTAACTCCTCGGTCCACACAGTGCCCCCAGCTCCCGGGAAAGATGAACTTGTGAATCAGATCGGTTGTCTCTGCTGAACTGAGGGAAGCCTTTTTATTGAAAACGAACTGACCAGCCCTCCTTTAGGGACCAGCCCTGCTTTAGGGACCAGCCCTGCTTTAGGGACCAGCCCTGCTTTAGGAACCAGCTCTTGAAGACTCACAGGGCGCATGTCAGAGCTCAGAGCTAGAGGACCCTGGCGAGGGCGGGAGGCCTGAGGATGAGGGGAGGGGGCTCCTCTCCCCTACTCACTTTCTCTTCCCTCACTCTTGGTCCTTCACCCTCCTCCTCTTCCCTAATCGCTCCTCAGGCCCCGCCCAGCGGCAGAGCTCCTGGGCACCCGTCAGAACCTTCTGGAATACCGCAGCTGCAAACAGTTTGTTGAGTTCCTGACAGCCCGAGTTCATCGAGAGCCACATGGAGTCTGATGAGGGCCAGAGGACGCTAAGTTCCCCGCGCTGACCTGAAGACAGCTCACACCTGCAGGCGAATTTACTCTGGGGGTCGATGCCTCCATCCAGGGCTCCCGGCTTGAACCTTCCAAGGCTTTGTTCCTTGCATATTGTTTTGTTTAGCATATTTTCTTCCTTAAAGAAGGCTCAGAATGGCATGCCTCAGGCCCCTGGGGCCGTGGGCCCATCCTGTGCACACCGTTGGTGATTCCTGTGGCCAACTCGTTAACACTGTAGCAAAGCCGTGGCCAGCCTCGTGGCCGGGCCCTGACGAAAATGCTCTCTGGTTCACCAGGGTCAAACTAAGGCGTTGAAAATGTGAAAGAAAAAATGTAGCCTAAAGCACTTCATGACAATGATCTATCAGTGAGCACAATTACTGGAACCATGAATCTGAGTGTCAAAATCCTGCTTGTATCCCGTAACTTTGAGACTAGTTCGCGTGTTCAACTGACTTCCCTCTAGAAGACCACTCCCCCTTGGGGTACCCAGGGACCACGCTTTCTTCCACAGGACATTGCCCACATGAGGCTCCTCGTGGCTCGTGGCTGGCCACTGGAATGGGATGCTATGGATTCTGTTGGATTTCAACCAAGGACAGTGCAATGGAATTAATTTCTCATAATATTAACTTTGTATGTTCTGAACATCTCTTTCTTGGAAGAAATGCAATGACCAGGAGACATTTGATGTTTCAAAGGTCAGAGCTTTCCCTCATTTTGCACACGGCCAAGTTCCACGGGGGATGGGCAGACAGACCTCCTGGCGGCACAGCCCATTCGAGAGCTTCAGGGGGACACGGCCGACACGCAGGGTTCCCGTGGCGATGACACATGAGCAGGTGTCCGTACACCTCTTCCTGTCTGCCTCTGCTCCTAATTCCCGTCTGCTCATTTCTTGTTGACGTTTCTGCTCGATGGCTTTCTCTTCGGCCCCACAGACCCGCTTGCCTCGTTCCCCTCCGTTGTTTCCTCTCAGCTTTCCTCACTCCTCTTCCTTCCCACCCCGTTCTCCTCTCACCCTGACCTTTCACCTGCCCCCCTCCCCCCACCCCTGCCGGCTCTTCCTATGAGGGCTCTTGTCTTCATCCAGTGGAGGGAGACATCACTGCTTCCTGTTTCCCGGCACCAACACCAAGAAGCCCTGGGAGTATTTTAATGTATCTAACCAGTTACACACTCGGGGTGGGGTGGGGGACCAAGCCCCAGGACACTGGACAAGGACAATTCATTACTATAAACCAGAAACTGACAAACTCATGTTTTCATTCCAACGACCCTTGACAAGTTCCTGTCGATCAAATACACGGTTGAACCACATGAACTTGCCTCTTTTCCGCTCGTCAGAAATCACCCAAATGCTGAATACGAACAGGACACGACCCGCTCACGTGTGCGCGTGGGCACCAGAAGACCCTGCTCTGTGCAGCTCAACTCGTACTGGCCGCAGGGAGTCGCCGGACGGCGCTGGGCTGCTGCCTAAAGCGCCAGCATTGAACTTGCGGAGATTTATGGCTTCAGATGTTCGAATGCCACAGGCATCGTCACTTACGGTTACCACTGAAAATCGGCCGAGATAATTTACTCTGTTTCTGCAGACGTTCAAATACAGTCGCTCACGTCGGAGCACATTGCATTTCACCCGCACTGACTCCAGGTCCGCAGTGGCCTCGGACACAGGGGAAAGGCCACTGAGAGCTGAGCGTGCAGCTTGCCAGACGCTCTTTATACACATGAAGAATGAATAAAATTATTCACTCAGTTTGCTCCAATTCTGTCTAAATGTATGAATGTTGGGCACTGTCTATTGCTGCCTGCCTACGAAGCCGAGTTCTGGGGTCTTGTCTCTTACAGTTACAGAAACACTACAGACTTTGAAAATGTCCCGAGAAGGTGGGTTGGGAGGGGAGCTTCCTTTTCATTCTTCTGTGAACGCGATCATTTAAATGTGCTTCTTTCGTTCGCAGTATTTGACTTTTCAGGTTGTGCGCGGAGAGTTCTGCTATGAGCACACTGTCGTCCAGGCACAGGGGAGAGGGGGGCAGGGGGCTTAGGTTTCCTGAGCGTCGTCAGAGGTGAGCTGATGCCCTGAAAGGGAGCCACACTGAACTGAACTATAAGGGTTACCAATGGCAACCTCTCCACCCACCGCACATACTTCTCCTTAGCCTCTGAATAATCCGTATGGCATCACAGACCAGTGCCTCGGGGTCACTGGCTACCTGGGGGTGGCTTTTCCACAGGAAAAGCAATCGCATCCCACCCTTCCCTGGTGAGTCGTGCCCAGCGGGTATGCCCTGAGCTGGAATCCAGTGCAGGTCTAGACGGGCTGGACCCCCGCAGGCACAGCAGTAGCTGGTGACGCTGATTAACCACATGGGGCGAAACAGCACCCCACGTCCTGTTAAACCTGCCTTCTGTGACTATCACAGAGGCGGGTAGTAGATGCTCAATAAACATTTGACAACTTAACGAATTGTGTCCCATCCTACCTTGACCTAAAGTCGCTCGGTGGTGTTAACACCTTCAAGAAAGTCTTTATTTTTTTATTTTTAAATCTCGAGAAACTGCAGAGCTTGGTGAGAGCAAGAATTAGGGGAGTCACGGGGTGAAACTAACACATGTTCATCAGTTTTGGTAAGAACCACATTTGTCAGTGGTCCGTTCTGGTGAAGCTTCGTAATACTTTTCTTCACATATTCCTTTGTGTCCTGTCCCCGGACTGCTGACCTCGAGGGCAGGGGGACTGTACCCTACAAACTGTGCATCCCTTGCGCCTGGTCGAGTCCTCAGCACACAGGAGGGACTTGAGAAGAGTTGCTGAATAGACCAGCGATTGTGCACACAGAGAAGTGATCACGGGTGCTGTGGTGGCAGTTCCGGTGAGCTCTGTCCTAACACGACTTCTGTCCTGCACCTGCAGACAGTGAGGGACTTCAGGCTTGAACACCCTTGTCTCCAGGCCTGTGCCCCTGAAGGGTGCAGCACATGACGGAGCGTGGGCAGTAGAGTCCTCAGACTGGGTTTGGACCCACGAGTCAAAGGCTGTGTGCCCTTGGGTAGGTGACCCACCTCTCCCGGCTTACAAAGTAACAGGGAGAGGCAAGCATGCCCACTTCCCACTGTTGGTTTGGGATTAAACGAGCCTCCAATCATATGCCTTGAACACAGCTGATTCCCAATAAACGTTCTCTCTTTCCTGTGCGCCTGTCTCTTTACTCCCTCTGTCCTCATTTTCCTCCCCTGAAAAATAAGAAGGGTGACCCTCAAGGGCCATGTGTGGGGGCGAGTGCACACAGAACAAGATGTCCTGGGCTTACATGGAGTGGAGTGACGAGCACTGAGATACACGCACGTTCTTCCAAAGACGACGGATTATCAGCAAAGCAAAGCAAAACAACACAAACGAAATACCACTCCCAACAAGCCCAGAAAGTTCTGCGGGGGGCTGGGGCCTCACTTCCCTGTCTGTAAACAGAGCAGAAGATCAGGGGGACTGGGTGGTTTCCCTGAGCCCAGTGGAGACAGCTGGCTTCCACCCTGCAGTCCTGTGTCCTCAGACACCTGTGCCCGGGAGGCCCATTCCCGGTCGACCTTGGAAGGCACCCTAACCCCGGAGCTCTGCTGTGGGGGACCCAGCTGCTCAGAAACACAGAGCTTCTTTCGGGAACTCTGTTCCCGATAAACGGGGACCACAGGCCAGCCAGGCTGCGATGCCCGGGCCGTGGAGAGCCCCGCCCTGCCCCGAGTCCCCCTGCAGACTGGAGAGCCTGCCTCGGGCCTGGCACAGCCGCGCTCGCCCTGCAGCGGCTCCGGTCAGCTTCCCCGCGAGGACACCTGGTCTGATTACCGCACGAGGGCCTGTGTGGCGGGTCTGAGATTTGGCCGGAAGTGGGGAGACAGACAGCGCCCGCCATCCACCGCACACTCAAGAGGGGGAGTCAGCACAGACCGAGGCAGAGGGACAGAATGGGACATGGGGCTGTCCAGCCAGCCAGCCCTGCTTCGGGCAGCAGGATCTCGACCCCCACACGGCACTGTGGCCCCCGGAAGGGGCATTTCATCAGAGACACCGCAAGCTGTTTCTGGAAGAGGTTTTGTGTGTCCTTCCCCCTCCAACCCCTAACACACCTGTCACCGGGCGGCCACGCCCCCTGCCCCTTGCCCGAGCCTCCCAGCCCCTGGCGTCGGCTGCTGCTGGGTTAGTGAGCACAGAAGCGGAGAGAAGCTCTGCAGGGAGCGGGCCCACGGCAGGCAGCACCTACCATGTCGCTCTGTGACGCTGTGGCCCCGTACGCCGCCAGCCCGTTGGAGGGCGCGGCCGGCTCAGGTGTGTCAGGCTGGATGTACCCTCTTCTGTCAATGAGGCTGCAAGAGAAAGCGACAGTACAGGAGAAGGGGAGTGAGGAGAAAGCCAACGATGCCATCAACGTTGGGGTCCCTCCTCAGACACCTTGGAATATACCTCTACTCACCGTCAGTGGTCAGGTACCAAACTGTCACTTCTGCTCCTTCAAATGCCTAGAGCATCTGTTCCCTCCCTGCCATGGGCTGCAGCCCCCGCCTCGCCCGCTGGCCTCAGGCCCACCAGCCTCTGCCCTCCGCCCATGGCCCCCATGGCCAGTCTGGTCCTGTCACCCTCCGGCTGGCACAGCTTCGAGGCGCTCCATCACCCACGATCACATCCAGGCTCCCGTGCTCGGCCTTCAGGCCTCATGTGCCTGTCCCAACTTCTTCTCCAGCCTTAAGTCCACGTCCCCGTCACAGACACGCCCGTAGGCCGTTCCCTCCGCAGTCGGGTCTGGGCCCGCCAAGCGCCAGCACGCTGTGCCCACCAGAAGCCACCTGCCTGGGGCTGTGCGCTGGGCGCTTTGCCAGCTCTGGATTTTCATTCAAACTGTGTTTTTCTTACCCAAAGTCACTTTCCCTTTCCCGCCACTGTCTGTTCTTCACAGCCAGGTTCAAAAGCCCCGCAGCCCGTGGTCTGTCCCTGCACCTGCTTTCGTCCTTCTCTGGCTTCTCCTAGCGACACACCTCCCTGCCTGCCTGGTGTCACAGTGACTTTATACAGTCGGGTCGAGCAGCCTGCAAGCTCCCGTTTCTCCCACCTCTGGTCCCAGAGGATCTGGGGCGCAGAGTCCCCTGGGCACCTGTGTCCCATCCTGGGCACCTGTGTCCCATCCTGTGGCACCTGTCATGGGGTGTGGGCTGCACCAGGGCAAGAATGGAGTCTCCTTAATCATTGTCTCTCCACAACCGACGGCCAGGAGGCGCTGAGCAAAGCTTGTTGATTAAATGAACATGGTCCTGTGTCCCACAGATGGGTTTTCTGATCCAGGTTCCTAAAGACACCCTTCCTGTGCTCTATGGGCGGCGGCCCAGCGAGAAGGTGGGGGGCAGCCTTCCCTTGCCTTCGAAAGAGCTGCCTTGAGCGAGGGCTCAGCGTCGACCTTGAGTCTAAGGGCAGGACTGCAAAGGGCAACAGGAGTTCGGCTAAGAAGTGGGCACACCTGCTGTGGCCCCCACGGCGGGGGCTCAGGCCACACTCCAGCGGCTTCTGCGAGACAGCATTAGTGCACCCCCTGCGCGGGCGGGCTGCGGGCTCCGCCGGGCAGTCTGGCTCTCAGAAGACGGGCGTCATTATCTAACGACTGCCTTTCGGCATTCTCGACGGAACACCAAGCCACTGAACAATGCTTGTGACGGGATCTTGGAACAGAACTCTCTCTGCTTAGTTTCAGCTGAATCCTCAGAAGTTTAGGAAAAACAACAGGCACCAGGAGCCTCCATCTGTCAAAGGGAGGCACTGGCCCCCCTCAGGACGTCAAGCGGTTCTCGAACCAAGTGTCCAAGGGTAGAGAAGACAGAGGGAAGCATTGGAGTCACCCGACCCTGCCGATGAAGGGCACCAGGAGGCCGGGGCCGGGGCTGGTGGGTGAGGCGAGGGGCAGCCAGACGTGGAAAGACCCAGTGTGGAGTTGGCTCCAAGGTACATGTCGGGGGTTGAATTGTATCCCCTCAAAACATACAATGAACATATGGACTTGGACAACAGTGTGGTGATTGTGAGGTGGGGGTGGAGGTGGGAGAGGGTATAGGGGGATAAACAGTGATGGAGAAAATGAAATGAAGGGAAAAACAATAAAGCATCTAGTGCGTGCACACATTCACGCACACACACACACACACACACACACACATCCCAACCCAGGGTGGAAAGTATTGACCTTCAATGAACTTTGGAGTTCTGATTCACTGAAATGACACTATTTTGGAGGAAATGAAAGTGCCATGAGTCCTTTTTTTCTCTTTTAAGTGACAGGAGAAATTAAGGGACTTGCAGGGGATTTCATCCAGGAGCAGAAAAAGAACTAGGTCATCAAGAGAGTCTGAAGGGGCAGCAGGGAGGAACAATAAAGCCTTCGACCTGCATCCTGTGTGTTCAGCCTGGTTCATGTCCCAGCTACCACCCAAGACTGGCATTCTGGTCCTCACGGCGGTCACGGGCCCTCCTGATCTGGCTGTGCTCCCTGCGTCTCCTCTCTGGCCTTCCCCTCCCTGGCCCTCACTCTTGCTCCACTGACAAGCCGGGCTCTCCTCTGACCTCTGGGCCTTGGCGCGTGCTCCTGCCTCTGTCTGTCCTCGCACAGTGCCCTTCTCCTAATTCCTGCTCATCCTTTAGGATACATCATGGAGAGCCGCCTCCTCCGGGAAGCCCGCCCAGCTGTCCCCTGAACCTGCACCAGCCCTCCCTCACAGCCCCTCCCCCACTGTGGGGACTTGCCATCAATGGGTCTGGATGGCCCATGAACCCGCACGCTCTCTCCCGCGCATCCCCCGCACCCGCCAGGCTTTGCCCCACAGCTGTGCTCAGTGATGGTGGCCAAGTGAATTCTTACGACTGGCTGACCCACAGTGCTGCCTCACAGGGCCTGACCTGAACGCACCTTGGGATCTGACGTCTTTCCAATTTTTTATTCCTCCTGCCAGACTTGTACGAGGACCCCCATTCCCACCCTGCTGTCCCCACACCTGGGAACACCGCAAGGAGCAGAACGTGGTCTGTAGCTCTCCCTGCGAACAGGAAGACACTCACACGCTCTCGTGAGCACGTTGTCACGCTGCTTAAGAACGTTTCAGGGCCCGGCTGGTTTGGCTCAGTGGTTAGATCATTGGCCCGTGGTCCGAGGGGTCTCGGGTTCAATTCCCAGTCAAGGGCACCTACCTGGGTTGCAGGTTTGATCTCCAGTTGGGATCATGCGGGAGGCAGGCAACCAATTGATGTGCCTCTCTCACTCTGATCCTCCTCCCTCCCTTCCACTCTAAAAAATCAATGGAAAAATATCCTTGGGTGAGGATTAAAAAAAAAAATGTTTTAGAGGTAGCTCAAGGGCATGATTCTGGGCACGCAGGTGGTCCCTCACCCCCTCTGAAGCAGGGACACTGCTGAGCGGGTGGGCCAGAGGGCCCAGGAGAGGCTGGAGAGAGGAGAAAGGAAGAGACAAGGGGAGGACAGACAACACTCCGTCCGGCCAGCTCTGTGGGGCCTGCGGCCCAGGGCAGAGGGCCGTGGTCCCTGTGAAATCCAAGTGGTTCAGAGGGGAGGGACTTGGATTTTGGAACGAATACAGCCCCAACTCGGCCAAAACAGCAATTTTAATCCCGTTGTGGGAGAAATGGCTTCGGTTGTGACAAGGCTGATCTGACAAAGCAGCGCCAAGTGGAAACCGAAGACTCGGGAACAAGAACAGAGATTTGGACAGAATGTGAGACTTGTAAATTCTCCTGGATTCAGACGTGTTCCAGACACAGGGAAGATGCCTGCCCAGGTCTCTCTGGCTTCTTATCCGCCTCCAGGCCCTGCTCTCACCAACCACAACAAACACACCAACAGGAAACTCAAGCTCAACTATGAAAACCAAGCCTTTCCTGAGGGTTTTTCTGGCCTAAAGAACCCCAAGGGGGGCCCTGGAGAAGGGCCGGCACCCTCCCGGGCAAGCTGACTCACCTTCTACAGCAGCTCCTCCACCCAGGGTCCTCGGCTTCCCCTCCGCCAGCCCCTCCTCAGGGGAGGCCAGTGAGGGGCAGGTCTATGGACCCCCAGCTTTCTAGGCCCAAACTGGAAAAAGATCCAGTTACCCAACAGCACCAATAACAATAACCCAGGAGCAATTACTAAACGGCCTTGGACTATATCCTTTGGTTTTTCCTTTTCTATGGCGGGGGGGGGGGGGGGGGGTCGCTCTTACTTCCCTATAATGTTTCGTGGAGGCTGACAATCAGATTAAGTTTGCATTCCTGAGCACGTCAGCGGTGACTGGCCAGGGGTCCCAGTGCACAGTGGGCCGGCCTTGGAGGCGACCCTGTGACTTCTGTGGTTTCTTTCCATTTCACATTTAGAGACTTAAGCAAGGAGGCAGTAATGGCTTGGGAACTCACTCTAGATGCCTGGAGTACTTGCTCAATAAATTTTGTTGTTGTTGTTAATCCTCACCCAAGGATATCTTTCCATTGATTTTTTAGAGAGAGTGGAAGGGAGGGAGGGAGGGAGGGAGGGAGGAAGAGAAACATAAATGTGAGAGAGACACATAGGTTGACTGTCTCCCACATCACCTCCACCAGGGCCGGGAATTGAACCTGCAACCCGGGTGTCCTTGACTGGGAATCAAACCCAAGACTGGTCCTCGCGCAGATGCTCTAACTGCTGAGCCAAACTGGCCAAGGCTCTCAATAAATATTTTTGATAACTGACTGATCTGTTGGAAACCCTCTGCGTGGGTGTAACTCCAAATAATCCAGAGCTGACTGTGGACTTGTGCAATTCTGACCAGAGGCAGCATGCCCCAGCCCACACACACGCTGGTTGCGATGTCAGGTGCTGGGTTCGAGTCCCGACGGGGCAGCATTTACTAGCTGTGTGATCTTGGCCACGTTATTTAACCTCTCTGTGCCTTAGTTTCCTCATCCACAGAATGGGATATAATAGTACCTGCTCCGCAGGTACAGCGTGAGGTTCTAAAAGGTAACACAGGTAAGTGCTTAGAGCAGAAACCAACACCGTTCAGTAAATGTTGGCCGCTTCCTTGTTAGTATCATCGTTGGCTTCTCATCACCAGTGTCAACTGCTCCAGGCCACACAGGTCTCCCTCTGAACTATTTTAGCATTTACGTTCGAGACACCTCAGCTCTACCACTCATTTCTCCAGGTTTTCTCGTTGCTTCCTGCATGTGTGTCCTGGTCCCCTTACTGCGCTGCCTCAGCTCCCTGCTCACCACGGGCCCACAACCTCCTTCCGTAATTAATGAGGTCACATGCCTCAGTTTCCCTATTGGACCCTTAGGGGATTTTTCCCGAACTTGACACAAATTCAGCAGAAGAACCAAGAAGGGGTTAAGCCTAACAGAACCAACAGCCAGGTCTCTCTGACTCTCTCACTGAGTCTGTGTCCCCGTGGTACCGAGTGGACAGCGCGGCCCGTCCTGCGGCAGGGACAGGCCGCTCCCTGGCGAGGCCGCTGCTCACTCACCAGGGTGTGTACTCGCCTAAGGCTGGTGAAGGGCCCGGCGCTTTCGGAACCTCACCTTGGAGAGATGGGCCCACACAGGGCCACACAGCAATTTGTGAAGATATTTCCGTAGCTGTAGGGGTTGTAATTCTCTTTACCTCTTTTATTTGACCAAGATCCTTTAATCTGAAAGAGAAAGACAGTGACACAGTATCCTTCACACCAAGGCCACAGTTTGAGAGAAATGGACCAGAAGTCCATAAGAGGTACGCACTCTTGACTCATTTCGTCGGCAGGAGAACCGAGACCTTTCCCCAGGGAAACTGGCCTTTCTCCCAAACCTGGAGATACCCCCCAACAGCAGGTCAGATTAGGGAGAAAGCAACACTCTCTGGGGGCAACCTCATTTCTACTCCATAACACAGAAGGCCAGCTCCCACGAGCCCCTGAGATCTTCCCCCCCACGTTTCCGGTGCTAAAATGGTGACTCCATGAATGGGTGGCGAGGCTCCCCTAACTGCCAAGTCACAGCCTGTCTGAGTTTGGCCTCACGGTGTTGCCAGAATCATCTTGCAGGTTCTCAAGGCCACAGTTCCCAAGCATGAACGATGCGCTAACATTCCCGTTACTCGAGCATCTCATCAGCACTGGTCCCTCAAGCCCGCAGGCAACGGGACTGAATCCCAGCCGTGTGCTGCGGAGGCTGCCGGCCTCAACATTACAGCAGAGAGCACAGGCTCATGAAGGGACACTGCCAACACGACGTTTCCTGTCTTCATGCCCCTCTCCGTCCACAAGCACAGGCAGACGGTCCCGCCCAGAAGTTGACTTTGGGTCTGGTGACCTCCAGAAATGATGCGGAGACGTTAACTCTGGAAGGCAGCTCTTTGCTCCGAGATGCCAGCCTGCCCTGGTCTCCCTTCAGGGGAGGGGTCGAGTGCTCACACAAGTACTGAAAAGGAACAGAACAGAATGCCCTCCGCAAGGCTGGAGTTGGGGGTCACTTGGCTGATCGTAGTGTCCAGTTAACTGACGTGGTCAGAAAGCAAGATGACAAGGAGACTTCCGACAGGGAGCTGGGGTGTGACAGATGCGAGGCTTTGCCCCCCAAAGGCTCCCATCTGGGAGGGGGTGTACGGAGACCTCGGCTCCTGACGTCCCCTCCCCCCCTCGGTTGCAGAACACACCCGGGCCCGCACGGCCAGGACTTACGTCTTCATTGGTCGTCTGGTTGGAGCTGATCAGGTAGGTGTGGAAACCCAAGAGCCCAACGATAGACCAGACGGAGAAGAAGCACACCACGGCCTCCAGCACGGTGACCCGGAGTCAAGGATATGACGGGAGGACGGCGTGAGGTTGGGATGGGAAACACCACAGCCACTCGCTCAGGCCTCGGGACCACCTAGCCTCCCACGGGTGCTCTCCCTACCCGGAGGGACCTCGGGCGGGCGTGCCCCCACGCAGCACTCTCGCTCAGTAAGTGACAGGTGGGCTCCCTGATGGTGACCCGTTGGCTTCCTCATGGGCTCCTCCACCTGACCACCCGCGGTGGCAGTGACACCAGAACCAGGCCGCTGGGGTTGGCAGTGGCCCTGGCCTCCAATGCAAAACTCACTAATGAATGTCACTTCAATCGCAGACTCTAATTTGGCTTCTGAGTGCTGAGGCTTATAGTACCCACAGGTTTCTAACCCACCTGATGTGGAGGCTGTGAGTGGATTGTCGCAGGGCTGACCTGGGTGGCTGTACCCGGGCAGGGTTTGTCTCCATGGCTCTCTCTCCTGGGCAGCCCTTGCACACGCGGGTGGCTGCTGCTCCCAGCATGGGCTTCTGAACCGGTGGGGACATTTCTTAGAGTGGCATCGGGGTGAGGGTCAGCTTTACTTAGGGGGATCCTTTCCCTGCCCCTTAGCCAACCCTGACATAGAAGGCTGTGAACCCTGGATGCTCACTAGGCCCTGGGGGACAGACAGTTCATAAGATGTGTTACGACCAAAGGAGAAAAAGGGGTGGCATTCTTCAACAGGACACATAAACCTACCAGGAGTGTGGCGACTCGAAAAGACTAGAGAGATTTTCGGTTCCACAAATGTTTATAAAGCACTATTTACAGGATACAGATGTTTCGCAGGAAACAAATCCTTCATAGGTCTGGGAATTTAAATCTACACCATGCCTCCCCCGACAATAAATTACAGTCCAGAGACAATAAATACTCGTGTTTCCTAATGCCCCCACGGACAGAAGCCATGGATCACACTGTAATACATCACCTTCAGACCAAGAAACGAACACATCACCCAGGCAGCGCCATGACTCGCCGCGTCAGATGAAATGAAGGGGTGCCTGCCTGCTGACCGACGGTCAGCATCAGGGTACACCACTGGGCTGCTCTGGGGGGGCCCCAAATGCTTTACTGTTCTAAGATCAAAACTTCCAGAAACTGCAAGGCACAGAAAAGCACCAGCCTGAAGTTACGAGGACCTCCCCGGAGGAGGAGAACGTCTCGGTGCCGGCTGGCGAGGAAAACAGCCGAGGCCCAGCAGCCGGCCCCCTTCCTGGAGGAAGGAGAGGGGAAACGAAGGTGGCGTTTCAGAGAAGCAGAGAAACGTGGGTGGGGAGAGAGGGCGGTGGGGGAACAGAGAGGGCAGAGAAGCAGACCCCTACCCAGGGCTGCCACCCCGAGCAGCCCCTTCCTTTCTCCCAGGGTGACCCTGGTGGGCAAATGGTCATGGTGGGAGGCCTGGTGCGCACAAGGGCACTCACGGGCAGTGGTCTATGTAGCAAGATGGTCTCATTCTCAACTGCGTTCCGACAGGTCAGGACTCACAGATGCCCCTTCTCCCAACCTCTTCCCCACCCCGTGAGAGGACAGACTGAAGAGGCCGGCCGTGTGGGAGTCATGCCCCACGCTGGTGTGAAAGCAGAGGTGGTGTGGACCAGGGGCCAGGCCGGGCACACCGGGGCAGACGGTCAGGGAGACGGTGCAGGGAGGTGGCAATGACTCGCACAGGCGGGAGAAAGACAAATGCTGGAGAGATCGGAGACACATCAAACCAAGCGAGAAAGGTCAAGGGTACAAAAGACAGCATGGAAAAACCGAAGCAAATATGTATCCACTGAACAGCACGTGAAGAGCCGAACTTAGATTTCAGAACTACTCCGTAGGCCAGAAGCTTCCCCTGGTAGGAGGACGATGCCCCAGGTGATGCCCCAATGCACGTAACATTCCTGGGTGCAAACCACAGAAAACTGGCGTCACAGTGGAGGCGAATGACAGCAGCTGAAGTGGCCGCTGCCCATGTTCTGTTTCTTTGCAAGGCGCTCACAATCACCCCCACAAGGAGGCATCGTTCTGCCGGTGGACGTGGGATTTTAAAGGCTTTGTGCAACACCAGCAAAATGCAGCTTCTGTACTGATGTCTCATGTCTCGGAACCGTTCCGTAAAGAGCAGAGTGCAGCCCCATTAGCCCACCGCGGTGTCACCATGACATGAATTCATGGGGTGCAAACTGCGGCCCACTCTGGCTTCTCCCCGAGTCTGGAGAGACAGTCACCACCAGTCCTAACAATGGCTGGAGCCACAGGCGTGTCAGGTGCCACTCAAAGGCTTCACAGGGACGGACTTAATCCTCAGACCAGCCCAGTGAGAAGCACAGTTCCCACTTGACAGACAGGGAAACTGAGGCAGAGAGCAGTTAAATAACTTGCTTGAGAAACAGCAGAGCTAGGACTTGAACCCTGGGGTGTGGCTCTGCCGGCACGGCAGACACGCCGTGGGCCGGCTGCTTTCTTAGTTCTCGCTGAGGGGCAGGTGGCTCTAGGCTCCCCATCCCCCCTCTGCTGGGGGACCCTCGTCAGGGGTTCCTGAACCTGCGGCAGCTGAGGAGCCCGTCCCTCCATTCACTCTGACTGCGGCGCAAGCACCTGAACAACACCCCCTCGGACCCAACAGCTAGACACTGTCTGTCTGCCAGAGTGAGAATAATACACATTTCTCTTAAATGTGTACAAACCCCCAACTGATTTTCTACACAGAAAGATGAGAGGAGACGCCCACTGCACCAGGAGCCAATTTAAAAGCACTGGGTTTACCGCTCAGAGAGGCGCTCCCGTCCGAGCAGGTACCACTGCGGCCGCGGCCTGTCCCCTCCCAGCTCCCCTGGCGCCCGGTGCTGCGCCCGGAGGCTCACTCGCCGACTGTGAAACTGAACAAGGACACAAAGTGGTGCCGGGCAGCTGCGCCTCCACTGGCCTCTGCACAGTCCCACAAGTGCTTGCTGAGCCTCCCTGACCAGCCTGTCCCAGGGCAGGAGGCGGCTGGGAGGAAGGAGCTGCGGGCAGGGAGGGGACAGGGATCTGTCCGCCCCGGGAAGGTAACCAAGGGCAGATGGCCGTGCAGGGATGTGGACACAGAACTGGGCAGAATGGTGAGGTGAGGATACCTCGATATTTGGAGAATCATAAAAGTGAGACAACATGGAACCAATGCTTTTTAACCTTTCTCTGTTCCCGCTTTTTCTCAGAAAAAATACACACACACACATTCTTTCTTATAACTTCAGGAGGCTTAAAAACTCCCGACCCTGTTCCATGGGTTCACACTGACCCCCAAGTGGAGGTGTCCTGGTTTATTCCGATCCTGTCATTTCAGACAGGAAGCTGAGGCTGAGTCGTCAAACCACTTCTAAGAGCTCACACAGCAGTTCACGGCAACCCGGGACTAGAACTTGGTCTGCAGACTTCTGGGAGGGAAGGATCCTTCCCAGGGTCCCCACCATGACAGCGCCACATGGCAGGCCATCACTCTGGGGCCTCAGACCTCGCAGCTCCAGGCTGAGATGCTGTGACAGCAAACCTGTCCTCGGTCCCGCGGCCCCAGAGCCACCTGGGTGAAGAACTTGTCTGCAACACACGTCACTGCCTGTCTCTTCACATTCCAGCAGTCGGGCTCATGACCTGATTTTTTTTGCCTACTGCCAAATCCGGAGGACAGTTTATTAAAAAGTCTGTGTGTTTCATGTGGGTTTTCTCATTGACCCAAATCGCCCAGATCTCACAATGGCCAGGGGAGGCTGAAGTCCAAGGCTCGGCCTCGAGGCCCTGGGTGCCACGGGTGTGAGGGACACTGCTCTGAGCCCACACACCAGGCATGTGCCCCGAGTCCTGCATCTCGTTCTGTGTC